TCTTTATATGTTGTGTGTTTTATTCTGTGCTCTTTTGTGTTTCCTTTGTCTGCTTTTGTGGGTAGTTGATTTTATTGGTCACACAGTTCTCTTAATATTGTTTCATTTCTGGAGACAGTTTTATCTCTCTCTGCATTAGCTTCTCTGTGTTCCTGTTCTCTGGTTTCTATTCCATTAATGGCCTCTTGCATCTCGTCCATTCTGCTTTTAAGTCCTTCCAGAGATTGTTTTATTTCTGTAGTCTCCCTTCCTACTTTGTCCATTAGGTCTTGCATTTTTCTCTGCAGCTCCATCAGCATGGTTATGACCTTTATTTTGAATTCTTTTTCAGGAATATTGGTTAGGTCTGTCTCCCCAAGCTCCTTCTCAGGGGTTGTCTCTGTTAGTCTGGTCTGGATCAAATTCTTCTTCCTTTTCTTGGTGATAGAGGTAGTTGTGGGGAGTTGGCATGTATGTCAGCTGAGAGAATGTCTCTTCTTGCTAGTTTTTGGTCTTCCTTTCCTGTGAGAACAGCGACCCCTAGCGGTTTGTGCTGGGTAGCTGCGCACAGACGGGGTTTCTGATCCTTGCCCGGGCGCTGTGGACGGAGCTCAGTGTGGCTGGTGTAGGTGTGGCTGGCCTCAGGCTGCTGCTCCACTATGGCGGGGCCACGCCCGAGGGGGAACAGGCAGGAGGCTGTTATCTCCTTGTGGGGCTTCCAAGCTGCGCTGCCGCCTAGGGGGTTAGGGCACCCAGAGTTCCCCGGGATTCCCAGCTGCTAGGCTGAGTGTGCCGGGATGGTTCCGTCCAGCTGTGAGGCTCCTGTCCCTTTAAGACTTTTAAAGAGCACTCACTCACTTTTCTTTTGTCCCAGCGGCACCGGCTGCGGGGACCTGCTCGCAGGTTTTACTGTTCTGTTTCCTTAGTATCCAGCACACCACGCACTGTATGTCTGTGCTCCCAGTGCGGATGACTAGGGCTGGGTGTTTAGCAGTCCTGGGCTCCCTCTCCCTCCCCATTCCAACTCCTCTCCTCCTGCAGGGGAGCTGAGGTGAGGGGCACTTGGGTCCTGCTGGGCCGCGGCTTGTATCTTACCCCCTTCACAAGGCGGTGGGTTCTCGCAGGTGAAGATGTAGCCTGGCTGTTGTCCTGAATCTTCTGGTCTCTCTTTTAGGAGTAGTTATATTTGTTGTATGTTCAAAAATATATATGGTTTTGGGAGGAGATTTCTGCTGCTCTACTCACGCCACCATCTTGGCTCCTCCCCTCCCTCTCTAATACTTTTGAGTGATCTTTTCTTGGCTCTGGGTAGTTCCTCTCATAAATGTGCTGATCATTGCTAGATGAATCCTTGAGGGGGACCCTGTAGAGATCTCTGGGTTTTCTCTCTGTGCAGCTCTCTTCTCTTCAGCAGTCTGGCCTATGAACTTTTGATGGCTCCCCAGACTCTCAGTTCTGTCTCCTCAATTTAAGGTGTCTGCCTGCTGTGTCTCAGTTCCTTGTGCTGTGGCCTGGAAACTCAAGTCAGTGTAGTGGGGCAATCATAGAGCTCACCTTATTTGCTTCTTGTCTCTTAGAGGTTGATGTCCTTTGTTGTTTGATGTCCAATGTCTTGAAAACTGTTCTTTCATGTTTTTAAATGTTTTGGTTGTTTTAGTTGAGAGGGAAAATCTGGTCCCTGTTACTCCATCTTGGCCTGAAGTAGAAGCTCCACATACTTAATGCTAGAATACTATTTTATGGAATAGATTCTTTTTGTCTTCCAATTATTCACTATTATAAGACAAGCTTTCATAAACATTTTTGTAGTAGACATGGTTGATCATAAAAATCACATGGGACCTTTTAAAATAACTTCTTTTAAACTCACTCTTTGGGTTTAGATTCAAGAAGTCTGGAATGGAGCCCAGAAATCTATATTTTTAGCAAGCTCCCTTGTAAAAGCTGGTCTTCAACTTGAGATGATTAAGGGTAGGGGGACTGCATTATCTTCTTCACTGGGAAATAGCACTCTTAGAAAACTTAATGAAAATATTTGAGACTTCATAATTTGGACTCTGAATTTCTACAATTCTACAAAATATAACTTTGCATGGTTCCTATTTTGCAGTTCTCAGAAGTGGAAGGCCAGCAATGTGAAAAACTGGTTTACCAAACAGTTTCTAGTTCAACATTAAAATGTAACATTAAAGTTTCATTTCCAACTAGTATGTTCAATTAGCACATATGGTTACCAAGAAGTGTACCTGGAAAAATGCTGTAAATTAATATGTAAGTTGAATCTAATTTCATAAGAGACATGATAAATGATGGTGTTCCCACCCTGTAAATTAATAAATGAATGTATCCATTCAGTCACCATTGCTGTGAATCTGTTATGTGGCAGGCACTCTATAAGGCACAAAATGAATGAGACATTAGTCATTGGTGAATAGAATGTAGTGAATGACAGAGACTGTCCCTCATGACCATGTGAAGTTCATCTCAAACTAATTGGCATTAACATTTATTATCTTTTCTGTTCCAAACATGTTCTCTCTGTTTCTAAGTCCCCAAATTCCAGGGAAGGGATTGGCTCATTTTGGAGTGGGTGCCCACTCCTAAACCTACTCCAATTTGGGGTAGTCTCCTTGACTATCCTTATTTACATAGCTTTTTCCCTATTGTCTAAGCTAGCTCAAGTTTTATCTTTATTACCTGCAACACAGGGAGTCCAAATCAATTGAAAAATAATTACAAGTGTGATGTTACAAATGGGAAAACAAGGGTGTAATGGGAGTGTATCACCTTGGTGGGGGGTGGACCTAGCATGGTTGGACACAGCGTAGAAATTGCAGAAGGTCTAAAAAAGCAAAAGAGATCATATAGGTATATCCTTCACAGTAATATAATGCTTTTAATAAGACAATTAAGCAAGCAAATGAAGCTACATTAAATGTAATAGAGAACTATAACTCCATTATTGAAAAAATATATTTTACATAAAATAATTCCCATTTTTTTGGTCACAAGGCACTTCTGAGCCTCCTCCTTGTGGCCACTTCCACCCTCCTGTCTGCTTTGCTTGGCTAAGCATCACCCCTTTCCTGCCTCTCTGACACAGGCTTATCTCCTCTGCAGCTCTGTACTAACTGTTCTTGTTAAAGCAACTATGCTATACTGAATATTTACTTCCTTAATGGAGGCATTCCTGTGGAAAGGGAGCTCCGGGAAGAGACCATGTCATATCAGCCACTGTGTCACTGACATCTAACACAGTGATTTGCACATAGTAGGCACTTAACCAACATTTGCTAAATGAATGAATGAATATATAAAATGAGTGAATGGATATTAGACTTTCAGAGGTGGGTGTAGTCTTGGGTGGGTGGAATCATTTAGTTCAGTATACTTTTGGCAATGCTTGCTAAGTAAAATATGAACAAACTCAAAATGATTTGCACAAGGCACTCAAAAGCTGCTACTCCCCATGTTCTTAAGCCAAAGAGTTGTCTGGAGAGCACCAAAAGAGGTGAGGTGATTTGCATGCCCGTGCCTGCTGCAAATGCTGGGATAATATAGTATAACTGGCAAAGAATAGTAAATGAGAATTACAACCTGAAATGTGTAGAGTTGAGGGCTCCTTGGATTATCACAGTCATGGCATAACTGCTTTGTAATTCTTCCTTTAATTTGGAAAGCAACTGGGCAGCTTTATTTAATTAAGTAATTTGTTTTTCTATATCCCAATATCCCTTTTCTATGCTGAGGAAAAGACAGCAATGCCTAAGTTTGAATGTTTTTATCTCCTAAAGATACAATTCCTCCCCTAAACTTGAAACTTTTCCAATATTCCCTATTTCAATGGGCAGCATCATTGTCCATCTAGTTGTGAAAATCTAAGACTTAAAGGACACCCGTGATAATTGCTTCTCCTGCAGTCCCCATGGCCAATCCATTATCCAGGCTTATTGACTTTACTTTTTTGTTCTATTGACTTCTTTCCACTTGATATCTATCCCTCCAGTTCATAGTACCATCACTGCTCCCCTGAGCATTGCATTACTGCAATAATATCCTCTTAAGTGGTCTCCCTATATCCACTCTTGTCCCCCTTAATTAATCCATTCTCCAGAGTGATTATTTCATAAATGAAAATCTGATCATACCTTCATGCTTAAAACTCTTTAATAGCTTCCCACTTTTTTTAAGATATAGAGCAGAATCCTAAATATGTCTTTTAGTATTTGTGTGGTTCTGTTCTGCCACTCATCTTGTTTCGTACAATTCAGCTGTGGTGCTTTCTTTCCATTCTGAAACTATGCTAAGAGTCTTTTTACTACCAGATTTCTGTACATGCTACTTGGCTTGCCTGGATGGTCTCTACTCTGTTCTCCCTCCTGGGCCCTGCTTTGTTCAGTTAACATCAAGGAGTCTTTCCTTGATCTTTCCAATCTATGAGAATTCTGTGAGAATGAGGCAGGGTTCAGCATCAATTCTATTCCAATATTAGTCCTAAGCACTGATAAAATCAATTCATATTGAATACATATATATGAGTAGAGAAATTGTATTTTAACAATGTTATTCAATTCATTGAATGCCTTCTAAATTAGTCTTCCTCTAATTTTGTTGAAGGCAAAAGATCTGGAAATCACTGGATTTATAGGATTTTATTTTTTAACAAAGTCATTAGACATTCACTTTTTTAATACCGATATTTCCAATCATCCCTTCCTTTGCTGCCTCAAAGGTTTTGACACTCCGGAGTAATGTACCAGGTATGTCCCTTTTTTGCAAAGTTAAAGAGCAACAGTGAGAGGAGAGGAGGGAAGGAGAACCAACATGCCCTAGGCCTGGTGTCAGGCAGAACAATTTTGGATGGGCTTGGTGGGTGGTGGTAGAATGAGGATCTGGAAACTGATTTCCTTAAATGATCCATGTCCTCCTGCCTCCCCATTGCCTAGGAGAATAAGTTAAAGTTAGCTGCTCTAACTCATGCCAGGATTTTATGAGCGTAAAGATTTTCTTTTCCTACTTACCATTGGTTCATCTGTGTTCTTCTGGAACTGGACCAACCGGACTCTGGTCACGTTCTCCATATCCATGTCTCCGTTCGCACTTTCTGGAGAATCACCATTTAAATAGGGAGAGGTGGGAGGAGGTGTGACCCTCAATGCTTCATCACTGTAAACTTCATGTGCCACTACGTCGTGAGTCTGAAGTAAGGCCTGGTTATTTTATGAAGGAAGTAAAATAGTAATAATAGTACTATTCTAGCAGAAATCCACTAACTATATGAATATATATCAAGTTATTCTTTGCCTCTCAAAGGATCTCTGCAGAACTCAAAGTACGTTACGTGAGGATACAACCATACCCTAATTTCTTTGTGACAAATAATCACAATAGAGGGGTTAAAAAAAGAATGAATGATTGAATGAATGAGTGAATCAATGAATAGATGTTTGTTGATTACCTCGGTTAGAGGTGTTGTCAGATGCTAAGAAAAAGTATCCAATTAACTTGCTCAAATAAAGGGTAACATAATGCAATTTCGAATAATTTAACAGAAAGAATCTCTGTAAAGAGAGGTGGCAAATTTGTGCTGGGATTTAAAGTGGAAAGAAATTTAAAGAGAAACAGTGTAATAACTGATATATTGAGCAAATATCTTTCATCAATGGCATTAACAATAACTTTTATGTAACTCAAAGGATGAAGATAATTTATAACATATGACTTAGTAAAAGAAACAAAAACACACACAAGTGCACCAGAAAAAATTTAATTTTCCAAAATAGTCACATATAATATTGGAGCTTAAAATCTAAACCTAGTTTATATTTTTGTTCATTTCTTTTTTGGGGAGCATTTGCCTAAATTAAAAATAAGTTGACAGTTATTATTATGACTTCATTTTGCAAAGATTGTAAACAAAGAAAAAGTGACTTTTTTGTACTGATATTTGCATATGTCATCTCAGTGAAATTTAATAATAGACATCCCTTGTTTCCCTAAAAAAGGGTATTCTTTCACTTACCCTACTTTTTGTGACATCATAAAAAGTTTTTAATGACCATAAATATTTGAACATTTCTATTTCAAAGAGAATTTTGCAGCTGAATATCAGTGTCTCTGGAGCTTTACACAGATTATATTTTCTTATGCACTAACTATAAATTCAATTCTATTCTGTTTGAATCTATGATTGGTATAGAAATGAAGTATCTGGAGATAATGAAATGCTATTAAAGTTGCTTTAAAAGTATAACCCTTAGCATCTCAAATTAAGTTATTTAATTAGAAGGCTTTTTAAAGTCATGATTTGGCTATTTTAATTTTAGACGCATGAATACAAAGCAGAAAAATAAGGTTACAATGCAGTTAAATCATAAAGATGGTGCTGATTGGTCATCAATAGAGCATATGTTGGAGCAGTTATGTGAATTTGGTTTTCTAATGGAAATGGTAGATACTTCCAAGATCTCAGAGGGCTGGTATAAACTGGGGTCTGGGTGAAGGGCAGGAGGGGCTCCAGCAGTGCGCAGCTTGACAGCAGGGCTCCACAACAGCCCTGGCGACTTTGGCTTCCTGACCACTGCCCTAACTATACCCTGCACTGTAATCCCAGGCCCAAGTGTGGAGGTTGTGCTCTGTGAGTAAAGCCTTTTTTTCCTGGTTCAACTGTGGCCAATTAAAAGACTAAGATTTAGGGTAGAAAGCAAAAATTGGTAATAGACAAATTGAAAAACTTCTGTTAAAATTAGGTTCATCATATCAATTACAGATGCGTCTGTCTTCCATAACTGGTGAATTTTTAAAAACATGCTTTGTATGGCTAGAGGATATCTAGTCAAGCAGAGAACCAAGCTTTAATCAGGGTAATGCTGGTTACATGGGTTGAAGAAAGTGTTTATGTTGCTTTTTGCAAATGATTTCTATCCATCCTTCTAAATTATATAAGCAAACACTTGTATTTAATTAATTAATTTATTTATGTATTTATTTATAAGGAAGGATAAGTCCACAATCAGAAAATAATACCCAAATTGAACTTTAAAAGAAAAATGCTTAAATTATGTCACCAGATAAGGTCATAATTGATATTAACTACAATTTACCCTTGTGAAAGACTGCTATCACACAATAAAACTTAACCTGAAATCTGGTGCATATATGAACAGAAGAAGAGGGGCCATATACAGATTGCTTAAAAAAAACCATTAAAAAAGATTATGCAAAATAAAAAATAGGGAAATCAAAGGTTGAATATTTTTCTTCAACATGTAAATCTGTTATGAGGTATGACTGAGTGATCATTACTAAGCTGAAACAGCTGTTATTTTTAATAACATAAGAACCATGTAATAGAAAAGAAATACTTTCACTTTTTGTATTGTAGTAAGGATATGGACAAGACAACTAACAGCTTTAGGCTAGAGTGAAAAAAATCTGACTACTTTTAAATGAAAAAGAGAAATATGAATTTTACATTTGAAAAGTGGTTCCCCTGGTTTCATAATTACAAATCATAAAACTTACCACTCAATAATGTAACTTTCATGATAACCTAAGGTGATTTTAACCCTCTTGCTTTTTGGGAAAGTAGGATATAAATTTGCTCTTAAAACCTGTTCTAGGTCCTAGTTTGTAAGGAAAAAAAATTAAAGCATTAACTTACTATCTTATTAATATTTGTCTTTATTCTTAATGTTTTACATTTTACAATTGCAATAAGCAAAGGATCTGTTCTTTTTAAAAAATCAGTGTTTCAAATGGAATAATTGAAAAAGGGATTAGTGTGATAGTATTTTTTATCATGACCTCTAAACACACAGTACAGACTTAAAACCCATTTAAACCTACACTTTCTAACTCTTCCTTTAATTACTGTAAATATTTCCAAGTATCTGTACTTTAAGTGTCAGCAATTCAAGATCAAACTCTCATGCTTGAATGATCAGAAAGCAAAGAAAAAGCTAAATAATTGAGCAAATAAGCATGAAGTTATAAATATGCTAAGAATAACTCCCAAACTTTGGCATAATAAAAACATAAGCATTAAAGTATTTCCCTTTAGCTGTTAATATTTCTTTAAAAATACCAAAATTTTGAAACCATAGTTTAAAAATGCTTGTAAGATAGAAAGCTCCAGCATTTAAAAGTTTATTTAACATAGTATATATAGCTCAGAATTATATTTCCCACATGGGGCATTATCCAAACATATGCTTATTTGGGAAAGACCAATGATCTCAAGTTAAGTTTATAAGAAACAGCTCCTCATTACAAGTCAACCAACTTCTAAAAGCAGAGGCTTGGGAGCCAGCAAGACCTGGGTTTTGAACCTCAGTGAGGCCACTTACTATGTGGGTTACCTCAGGCAAGTCTCTTGACCTGTCTAGGGTACAGTTTCCTCTCTGAACTGTAAAATGGGGTTAGTCACTCCACCTCACATCCCAGTAATCAGCAAGCTCTGTCGTATCCAATCATCTCCAATATAGAACCCCAATCTGCCCATTTCCCATCAGCCCCTTCTTTCTCTAAGCCTCTACCACCTTTTACAACAGCCTCCTCATTGGTCTCTGTTTTTTAACTCTGTTATCTCCCTTATAGTCCATTCTCTACACATCAGCTCTGGTAATCTCTGAAGCACAGATTTGGTACTATTTTCCTCCTTGCAATCACTTAGTGTCATCCTACAGCAATCAGGAGAAAGTCTGGATTCCTTACCATGGTCTGAAAGGCCCTACTTGGTCTGCCCTCTGCCAACTCTCCTAGCTCCTAGCTCTTCTTGCACCACCCTCTCTCAGTTTACTGTATCCCAGTGGCAATGGCCTTACTTCTGTACTTTGACCCTACAAAGCTCCTTCCTGCCTCTAGGCCTTTGCATTTGCTCTTCTCCATGCGTGGACGTTTAGAAGGCTGGTCCTTCAGCCTATAGGTTAACTTCTCAGAAGGGCTTTCCCCGACTACCTAAAGTAGCTCCCACTTTACTATCATCTCTGCCCCATTGACCTGACTTTTCTTCATAGTAATTGTCACTGTAAGAAATTGTAGTTTACTTGTTCACTGTCTGTCTGTACCTCACATCTCCATCCTCCACCCTGACCCCACTAGAACGGAAGTTCCATAAGGGCAAAGGACCCTGTTTGTCCTATTAGCCACTATCCATAGTGCCTAGCATGGTGCCTGGCACATAGTAGGTATTTGATGAATGAATGAAAATGCCTTCTAAACATCTAGCTAGTTATTCAGAAATTACAAGGCTTATTGGTCAGAGGCCAGACCAATATTATATCTGAAAATGCTTACTAACAGCAATGCACATATTAACTTCTTTCTGACTTCAGAAAAGCAAAATAAATCAAGCTTTTGAAGGTTAAGTGAGTTGTGAGATATGGGCCTATCTGAGTTTTAATGATTTGGAAAAAACCTTAACTCTAAGAAAAAGGCTCTTATTCGGGTAAATGTTAACATCTTTATTTAGCTACTATCAAATCTGAAAGACCTACTGATCTCAAGTGTTCCTATATCATTGTTTGAATTGAGCTGAGGTTACTTAGCAATTTATAGACAGACATGTCTGTCCAAACTGTACAGGTTTCTATCTATGGAAAACACACTGCACAGAATAGTCAGTCAAGGCAAGGCTAAACTATCTGCAAATGGGCAAGTTCCTAATTGATTTAATGTTTTACTGAGAACTTACTATGCACTCTATACATGATAAGACACTATTGAGTAACTAATAACATTTATTAGCTAACATTTATGGGCAACAAGCATATGTTTGGCACTGTGCTAGGTACAGTAGATGCATCATCTATTTAATTCTTATTCCAGCTTGATGAGGTTGGCTCAGCAAGTCAGTTCATAGAGCTAGGGTGGGAAGGCTGGAATTCAATTCCAGGCCCATCTGAATTCACAGCTCTTTTAATTTGTAATTTTTAATTAATTTATTTTTTACTTAGGTATCATTGATATACCATGGTTTTACAAGAAAAACAATGTGGTTACTACATTCAGCCTCATTATCGAGTCCCTCCCCATCCCCCATTGCAGTCACTGTCCATCAGTGTAGTAAGATGCCACACAGTCCCTACTTGTCCTCTCTGTTACACTGTCTTCCCCGTGACCCCACACATACCATGTGCACTAATCATGATACCCCACAGTCTCCTTCTCCCTCCCTCCTCACCTGCCCTCCACCACCCCTCCCCTTTGG